TAACATTCAAGGTATGCCATAAATAATAACTTTCACAATTGTTTCTGCTATAAACTGGACTGTCAAGTCATCAAATATCTTGTTTCAAAACTAATCACATGTGCAGAACCATGGCATCAACAAATCAAATCCAGGCTAAGATGCTAGCTTCCTTGGCTGTAAAGGATAAGAGAGTTTTAGTTCCACTTTAAACATCACATTAAACCATACCAATAGATCTTGTTAGTATAAACATTTCCTGTTTGCCAAGTTGCAATACCATTATTAAAGTGATTCTAAAGATTGAATTTTTTTTTTAACCACTTGCCTACCAGGCACTTTTATCCCTTTTGTGCCCAAGCCAATTTTCAGCTTTCGTGCTGTCATATTTTGAATGACAATTGTGTGGTAATGCAGCATTGTACTCGTATGAATTTTTTATCATTTTTTTCACTCATATGGAGCTTTCTTTTGGTGGTATTTAATCACCACTGGGTGTTTTATTTTTTGCACTATAAACAAAAAAAGAGAACAAAAATATGAAAAATATGTTTCTATTATAAAATTTTGCAAACAGGTAATTTTTCTCTTTCACTGATGTGCGCTGATGAGGTGGCATGGATAGGCAGCACTGATGGGCACTGATAGGCTGCACTGATGAGGCGACACTGATGGGAATTGATGAGGAGGCACTGATGATGGTGCACTGATATGCAGCAATGATGGGCACTGATAGGTGGCACTGATGGGCGAAACTGATGGGTGATGCTGACTGACAGCACTGACTGGCAGCACTACTGAACACTGATGGGGGCAACTGCTGGGCGGCATTGCTGGGCAGCACTGATGGATGGCACTGCTGTGCACTGATGGGTGGCACTGCTGGGCACAGGTGGGAGGCACTGATGGGCACTGGTAGGCGGCACTGCTGGGCACTGATCATCAGTGCCCTGATGATCATTGCAGATGTCCTTTGTGTCAATTGCCGGCTATCGGTAGTACTTTCCTCACGATGTGATAGCATGAGGAAAGTGCTGCCGATAACCGGCAACTGTATTTACATTGTGATCTGCTGTGTCATTTGACACAGCTGATCCCGTGGTAAAAGGCCTCTGTGATTGGCCTTTTACCTCATCGTGTGATCAGCTGTGTCCATAGGACACAGCGATCATGGAGAGCGCCAGGTGCGTGCTGCTGGGGGCCACGTGGGAGGGCGTGTTCTGGGAGGATGTCATATGACGCCCTCCCAGAACTTGACAACCGTGCTGTGTCATTTGCCTATAGCGCTGTTGCAAGTGGTTAAATAACAAACATGTTATACTTACCTGCTCTGTGTAGTGGTTTTGCACAGAGCAGCCCCTAGCCTCTTCTTTTTGGATCACTCCGCCAGTGGTCCTGGCTCCTCCCCTCTGCCAAGTGCCCTCAATAGCAGGACCTCTGCTATGGAGCACTTGACAAAGCTCACTCCTGAGCCAAGCACCTGTGAATGGACATTCACACACAGATTGTGGTTCCACCTCCCCCCCCTCCCGCTCTCTACTTACTGGCTGTGATTGATAGTAGCCCAGAGCCAATGGCTCCCGCTGCTGTGTAAGCCAATGAGGAGAGAGAGACCTGGGAGAGACCGCTCCCATGCACATTTCTGGATCGAGATAGGGCTCAGGTAAGTATTAGGGGTAGGGCTGATGGGGGAGCTGCATAGAATGCATGACGGTAAAAACCTTCTGCCTTTAGAACCACTTTAATATCTACTTTTATGGCACAATCATATCCTGTGGTGTTATACAAATGAAATTATAAAAGTGTAGTACATGTATTATAATGCATAAAATGTTCCAATGCTGCTACAAGGAATTTTATTCAACAACATTTTAAGCTGAACTCCACGGAAACAAAATTGGTTAAATGTCTTTTTAGCTCTAGAATATTGCAAAAATCAGTTTTTCTTACCCAATATTCCACTCATTCAGGCTCTTCAGGTTTGTAAGATCAGTCCATGCAGCCTCTTTTCTCCATGATCCGGCAGTGACAGGTATTCTGATGTCATCAAGCCCAATGCAGAGCCCATAGACCTGCAATGGATGTGAGGACACAGAGCGTAGGTGAGTAGAAGAGACCTGGATGCTTGGGAAAAGAATGATTGGGTAATTAAAACTGCTGTTTGCCACCCCCACTAGACATAAATGAACATTTAACCCTTGCAGAACGGAGACAGACCCACTACAAGGGAGCATTTTTTTCTCCCTGGAAATGGGCTTTAACAATCACAAGAAATAATAAGAGAGAGGATTTGGCCTGTGCAAATGAGCTTGAAATCTACACATATAAGGGGTAGAAACAAAAGGTGTGTAAGTAGTATATAGGAAGACATTATGTGCCTTTTTTAATAAGGAAGCAAAAATCAAGGTCAAGAGAAGTAATGGGGAGAGGTTGGAAAGAAATCCCTAGGACTGAACTGTGACAAAGTGGTTGCTTTGCTAAAGACAAATAGGCTGTTCACGTTGCAATGGAAATTACACATTACAATGGTATTTGAAACAGAGCCTAGTGAATGTGGTGAAGTTTCTCTTTGCAAAAAATACCCAATCACGTGCAAGGAAAATAAAAAACAGCATTATTTTTTGCACCTGATTGGATAATGGAAAACAGTGGAACTTCAACTCATACACTAAACTCTGGTGCACATTCCCTTTTCAAGGTGCAACTTCCCTTGCCTAGTGCACAGACTGTTTGCCTTTAGTAAACAAAGAACCAGCAAACACAAATGCTCCTGAGCTTGGGGGTGGACTCAGTGTAGACTAGAACCACATCATGAATGTCCTGGAATATGTACACCTTGCTGCCCTCAATAGACCGGGAAATCCAAATATACTGAATGAAGAAAGAACAAACAGAGGGTGCACTGGCTTAGTGCATTACCATAAAAAATGTTCAATAAGAAATAAAAGTTGGTGTACTCACAAACAGTAAAGTCAAAGGCATGTCATAAAAGAACAGCTTGGTCAAAACTGCACTACGTGACTGTCCACTATTTCTTCCACTGACACTAACGATGGAGTACTAGTCCTACTAGATAGGACATTGTTTACTCCCACAGGATGTCAGGACATTTGTTACTTCCACTGGCCCTAGTCTGGCCCCCCTAGGGAGTCTGTCTGAAGGACAGTAGACTGAAGCTTTGTCTAGAAAGTTTGGGGACCCCTACCCTAGACCAATACAAGCAATTAACCCTTGCAGTGCAGGCTAAGGCCCACTTTAATAGATATTTTCTTTTTTTCTGGGAGTTGTGCTCTAAACATAAGCTTTAGGGAAAGAATGTGTAGTCTGCCATTGCTAACCTCTCCTTCTAACGTTAGTTACCTGGCTGCCATGCTGTTCCAATGACTTTAGTATTTTTTTTAGTCAGTGATCTGAGATAAGTATACAGATAAGGCCCCTTTTCACACAGGTGATCCGATCAGGTCCGCCTGTCAGCTTTTTAGGTGGACCTGATCGGAAGGTCCATGCATTCCTTTGGACAGGCAAGTGTATACGGACCGGAGGGTAGTCGGGTGTTAACAGACAGCTGCTCCAATCAGTAGGAGATTTGTGAGCTGATCCCCTGCTGATGGGAACGGAATCCACCCCATGTGAAAGTAATCTAAGGAATTAGGATTTCACTCCTACTTTTTTAATTTGCATGTTTGTTCCAGATCACTGAGTCAGAGTGCAGATACAGTCAGTAAACTAGAAGAAGGTCAGAAATGCAAGCCCTTGTGTTCCTTTCAATACACATTTTAAGTATGTAGTACCAGCAGGTGCATACATGCAGCATTATCATTTTATAACATAAATGTCATTGCTGCAGGCCATAATCAAAAGTCCCTGAGTTATAGCCACAGAAAAAATGGTTTACGGCACTGGCATACCTAGAGAGGTAGCCACTGCCACTAGGCTAATGACCTTAGAAGTAACAGCCTTGACTTAATTTAAAAATGTTTGCATGTCTCCTTATTGCACAAAGGAACTTTGTAATGTGTTATTTTGAAAAAAAAAGATTATTTTTCACATTTATAATTTTGTTCGCTTGGGTTGATTTTTCAATGCTAATGTGGTTTATTGGGTGGGGTGGGGGATGATTTTCTAAATCACAGTGATTTGGGTGTTCGTGAGATTAAAGGCATTCTATAGTCACAGCATACATTTTAATTTTATAACATCAGCTTTGTAATAAAAATACAAGCAATAGTTATTATTGACAATCCAATATACAGTAAGCTTACTTGAAAAATCCTCTTTACATATTGTGAGTTTGGCCTGTCTACTGGTCATCTCTTTCCACAACTTCCTGGATTCCCTGCATGCTTTTCAGCTTCTCCTCTGCGGTTTACTTTCAATTTCTAGGGACTACATATCCCATGGGTACCTTACTGTCAGCATCTAGTGATTCCTGTACTGACTCCGTATCCTGAAACTCCTCCTTTTAGCTCCTCTGTAGTTCAGAAGGCAGGCTCTGTGAAATGTGTGACACAGCAGTGCCTAATTACAGGGCATTGTGAATGTGTCACAGAATTCAAGGTAGTAAATGTGTTGGGATCTTCACTAACTAATTATACAAACTTCAAGATCGTTCAGATTAATAGGAGTAACCCAGAAATAATTGAAGTACAATGTGGAAATTGCATCAAATTTTTAATTTTGACAAAAGATACAGCTCAACATTTAAAAATTTTTAGAAACAAAACTCTTGTAAGGTAATGAAAAAAAAAAAATGAACACAATTTTTTGTGGATGTTTGAAATGAGGCTCGCCTAGAATAGCAATGACTACATTATTAAAGTGTGTAAAGGTTTTTATGTGTAGCAGGTTTTGCTTATAAGGCAGGAGTATTGCAGGTATCATTATGAATTTTTGCATTGAATCCCAGGGATATATCTATATCTTTTGTACTTTCAATGTGTATAACTGCTTTTTATTGTCTGAATTTCGACACATAGCCAACATATTTTAATTGAACATATTTTTTTTTATTTTCCTTTTAGCTACCTACACATTGGAGAGAACAAGAGGAAGACAGTAGACCTTCTGAGTCAGGTATCATTTCTTTCTGCTATTAGTACCGGTCATACCGGTGAGACTTGTCAGGCGATTTGATAGTTTCAAATCTCATGACAAATCGCACTCTATTGTCCGCAATTGAAGCGGTCTTATTGGTGGAATTCTGACTTTGTCGGAGTCTCACTGAGTTTAAAAGTAGTGTATGCACTATGTTTTGCAAGTTCATGTTCGACTCGCGTAGATACCTGTGTCCTGCAAGTCGCAGATGTCTTGCAAGTTGCACCTGAAGTTGGACTGAAATCCGACTTTGAAATCGAAAAACTGGAAGTTGCATGATTTTGTAGTCAGATTGCTGTGACAAAAGACTTAACATTTGACCAGTATTTATGTAATATAATTTTGCAAAAATAAGGGCAATGGTTAAGAGTCACTTTGTGTGCGAAATTACACTTTACAAGGGAATTTACTCTTAGCTTGGTGAATGCGGTAAAGCTCTGCTGACTTCCCTCATTCAATTATGTTCAAGCAAAAATTCTGTTGCATGCGATTGGGTATTCTTTGGAAAGTTAATTTTTACCACATTCACCACAGCTAAGAGAAATGTTCTTTGCAAAGTGCAATTTCCCTTGCAAAGTGAACAACTTATTTGGCTTTAGTAAATAAACCCCATTGACAGCAGCACAACAAATTTGTTGCCAGTTTGTTTAAAACCAGAGAAAAAAAAAAATAGCACAACATTGCAGTTGTTGCCATAGTGATTAGTCAAATTAAAATTCCATAAATCAAAAAAGAAAAAAAAATGCAGCACAGTACTATAAACTCAAATACAGTGCTAAATAAAGCCAACGTGCATATGTGATTAGTGAAAATAGAAAAAAGTGTGCTTCATGACAATAATATGTACTACATCAAAATAAATATCAACACATATATAGAAATAGACATAAAACTGCATATACCAGTACTAAATGAATAGTGTATACAAATACCAAATGAACCGTACAAAATAGTGAACTGTCCCTTTAACACTCCAATATCTTCACATGTGCTTGTACGGTATATCTCCTGTGCATCATGTACCAAATATACTATCAACAAGTGTCCCAATATTATGGTCTCAAAATGCTGGTGATGGATCCCTTTTAATCCGCTGTGCTCCAAGTGGATCTATGTGATCACACTACTGCATACACATATATGGTGCTCCTGTGTCACCCCTTAGTGCTTATCCACCTCTGACACACTATTACGCTCACCTTCAGGTTTGACCCAAATACTCAGGTCAAACTACGCCTTTCCCTTTAACCTGGGAGGGTATACTGGTACAGAGATCTTCACTACCATCATTACTTAAAATCTCCAAAACACTACATAGACATATCCAAAAAATGCTCCATATAGTTAAGTATAGCCAAATGCAACCAACTTTATTAAAATACTGATCAAAATACACTCACATTTAAAAGTGTCCACGTGGGACACTACAGGATCCAAGACTCACTATACAGTATCATTGCTGAATAAAAGTGCATGGATCCCTTATCCAAAATGGCGGCATGTGCACTTCCGGTTTACAGCTTGAAAACTGAAACCTGAACCTTATTATCCTTTCTCCAGGTTTTATAAATTAACCCTATCAATTGTTCTGTGCATTGCTTTACCTAATTAAAAGAGAAATATTGAAATATAAAAAAATAAACAGTCATACTAACATAGGTGGATGTAGCATTTGTCTGATGCTTCAGCTGTCCCCTGCCTACTTTAAAACCAAGAACTGAGCCATCAAAGTCTGCTGTTCGGGAACGGCTGGCTCAGGATCTCAGCGGTTTGCTGAGAGGCTGAGCCAGCTGCCAGTCCAGGCATCTGGGTGGATCCGGAGATTAAACTCTCTAGAGCCTAGAATGGTTCATTGATATCGGCCAGCAGTGAACCTTAGCCTGCTGTTGGTTGAAAGCAGGTCAGAGGAGTGCAGAATGAAATGCACTCCTGTGATCCATAGGAGAAGCAAGGCCAAACAAGCTTTGGCTCTACTTTTCCTTTTAAGTCTGGTAATTCGTTGCAGTATAAATGAACCAGTTCTGCAGCAGTATTGTAGAATTTTCACCTTAGTAGTAACTTACTTTATAGCAAAATAAGTCCTAATAAGTCCTAAAATAAGTCCCATGTAGTCCCTTCACATTACAGGTGACCTTGATTCACTTCCTAAATTTACTTTGTTACCGAGAAACACACACTCACACACATACAAACTACAGAAAGTAATACAATCCTTCTGTTGTTTATGTCTTTGGGGTATAGTTACAGCATTCCATTGATACCAGGTTAATTGTTTTGTTTACTATGTAGAACTATTGTCACAGCAGCAGGCTGTTCATCTTATGATCATACCAGTCATTCACAGTGACTTCATTGTGAAGAATTGTGATATCATATGTATTAATGACAGCGTGGCACTAGTAGCATTCTCATTGGGGTTTAAAGTTCCACTACACACTACTCACCCAAAAAGAATCCCTAACACTGAAGACTCCCTAAAACTTATCCTAACCCTTTACTGAGCACTCAATACTCAACCAAACCCTTAAAAAATGTAATTCACTTAACCATTAACCTAATCATAAGCACTTATCCTTCAACACATACACTGACCCTAACCCCTACATTTCACTAACCCCTAACCATAAGTGAACTCTGAACCCTTAACCCTCCCACACCTTGGAAACCTAACTGTCAGGAATGGACTTGCCAATAGTGGTGGGACTCACCTGCCTTGTGGGCTGCAGTACCAAGGCTGGCAGCGGGTGCTCTCAACAACCAGAGGTTCGCTTCGGCAATTAGCCATCACCTGGGGCTGATTGCAGGTGGTGTATTTAAGGGATGGCCAGACCTGCAGTCTGTGCCTTGGTGTGTGTTTTTCCATGGGCCCCTGTATCTTGTAACCTGCATTCCTGTTTCTGTTTCTGCCTGACTTGTTGCCGACCCTGCCTGATCCTGACCTCTGCTGCCTTCTCCTGTTTGATCCCTGGCTTGTGACCCTGACCATTCTCTCCGCCTGCTCCTCCTGTACCTACCTGCCCGATAGTTATCGACCCGGCCTGCCTGACTACGTTGTGCTCTATATGTGTATGTACCTGTGTATCTATATCAGTTTAGGTTTGGGTTTGTTTCACCTTGTTGTATGTATTTGTGTTAGCTTGGGGTTTGGTGCACTGCGTTTATATTTGTATTGTTAGTCTCAATAAATTATATTATTTACTATATCTGAGCCTACGTTTCACCTGTGTCAGTCCACACACTTCTGGTCACACCCGCATCCCTGACACTAACTATATCCTCTTACATGATGCTAAGTAGTTGGCTGTCATGCTGACATTTGGTTCAATACATTTTTTTTTTCTCACTTGTCTGGAACAAATATAGAGAGAAGGAATTTTGATTTATTTGTCTCATGCTTGTTCTTAGTCTGTGGCTTAGAAGTTTTAAAGCTAGATAGTTAATTTGAAAACAGGCCACCAACTGCAGGTATTCTCCTACCATGACAAGTGTAGGTTTTAAGAATAACAGTTAAACTAAACCACCAACACCTGCCCTTAACACTAAACTAACCTAACCTAACCTAACCTAACCACTCAGCTAATCCTAACACTAAAGTAAACCCTTCTAAAATATATTTACCAATGCAAGGGGCTGTCCACATAAGTCCAAGAAAATATGGTGTCCGTGGTTGGATACCCCAGTCTTAGTCCTATGTACCTAGTAGTTAGCAGACTCCTTTAATATGCATGGCCACCTGTGCACTTACCGTTTTAGCTCCTTACCAGCATTATAGTTGAATATTTATGCCTTAATACATAGCATGGATGGTGGTTATTTTTCATGGATTGTTGTATAACTGTGCTTTTTCAGGATGATGAGTGTGTATCAGGGGCGGACTGACAACTCATGGGCAATCCCCGGGCAATAGGGGATCATGGGGCCCCTGTGTCCTTGCCCACACTCAAAAAAACCTATAAAAAAGGTACCAGGGGTATTTCATGGGGCCCCCTACTGACCCCGGGCCCTCGGGCAGTGCCCGAGTGCTCGAATAGTCAGTCCGCCCCTGGTGTGTATATTATATTGTTCAAGTATTGCTGGAAGTGTTCTGGAATTGTATGCTCTATATACATTTCAATAAATGCTTTTCTGAATTTTAAAAAAAAGTAATCCCTTCTGCCAGTAAGTTACTTTTTCCTGGACTGCAAGCTGCTAAATTCAATCTTCATAGGGCTTGCACCAAACGTTTCTAGCACTACTGGAACTACTGGTATGCTTGAAATGTTCAGGGCCAGGGTACCTGCCTTGTATGAAAAATCCAGAACTGGCAACTCCATAGTTTTATTGATGCTTTGAATTGACCAAAAAATTCCTTAGATGTTGTAAAGTTTTCCTATTTAGGGAATTATGGTTTCACAATATAATGAGACGTGGATAAGTTGGGTCATAATGTCTTAGTGTATAGGGAGGTAACACTTACCTTAGAGGTACAGCTTTCCAGGAGAGGGTCTGGGGTGTTGTGGTAAATCATGGACCAAAGAATCCTGAGGATTCTGACCAGGGGTCTTTGGTAAAGTTCAGAGTTTCCACCCAAAAAAAAAGAGAGGGGGGCGGGAGAGCCCTTATAGTGTAGTAGATTAATTCAAGATAAAATGCTTCCACAATAAAAGGACAACCGGTCAAAATAGTATTATAACTGTTGAGGCTGCGGTCAAAAGGGGGGCAAACACGCAGCCTTCCAAGTGAGTGGTGGAGAAGTCTCAATGTAGGGTCAGTGTGGTCATCCTCTATGCCTTGGGTATTCCCATCCTGGGTGCACTGTAAGGATCTCAGGTGGGTGAATTAATTGATTGGTAGAGTCAGCCAAAAAAAGCCAGTTGATAGTTTGATTAGTAAAGGCACCTGATGTGGTTGTTCAAAGGATAAGCATGAGTCGTCTGTTTAAGTAAAACATCCATTGGAAAAAAAGATGGAAATATTTGTGAGAGTTGATGGGTGGCATTATTTTCAGTTGAAACACTTTATAAGGAAGCTTCCAAGGCCATTAAGAACAAGAGAGGATTGGAACCCTTTTGAGCACTTGTTAGACACAAGGGGAGATGGGATATCAAAAATGTATAAGATTCTCACTGG